TTATCAAATAAGCCTCAGGGAAGAGAGATCATTACTCAGAATTGCTACTATATATATATATATATATATATATATATATATATATATTTAAAACGTTCAGTTTCTGTTAAAAAATTATGGGGCATGCAGAGAAACAGGAAAGTTTCCAACCTGCTATCCTGGATAATTCAAATTCAAGTTCAATATTGAAACATCAACTCTTACCGAGTTTCTGGCCTGATAGCCTGCCCTGTGGATTTCAAACATGCCAGCCCCCACAATCACATGAGCCAATCTTTTAAAATAAATCCAATAAATCCCTCTCTGTCACTGTCTCTGTCTCTCTGTCCCTGTCCCTGTCCCTGTCTCTGTCTTGTCAGTCTCTTTCTCTCCCTAGAGAAACTTCACTAATAAAAGGGCAAGAAGAAATCTAAAGGGAATTCAGAAAATAATTTGAAATGAATGAAAATGAAGATATACACACCAAAACTTAGGATATACAGGTAAAACTTTGCTTACAGGGATATTTGTAGCTGTTAAGGCTTACATTAAAAAAAAAGGCTCAAATCAGTAACCTAACTTTTAATCTTAAGACACTGAAAAAAGAAGAGTAAGCTAAATCTAATGAAGCAGGAGGAAGATAATAATAAATATTTGAGTGGAAATTAATGAAAAGAGATAATAGAAAAACAATAGAGAAAATCAATGAAACCAAATGCTGATTCTTTGAAAAGATCAATAATATTTAGAAACCTTTAGCTAGGTTGGCCAAGGAAAAGGAGAAAAGATTCAAGTTACTACAATCAGAAAAAGAAGGAGAAGGCATTACTATAGATCTTATAAGAATAAAAAAGTATCATAAAACAATGCTATGAATAATTGTGTACCAACAAGTTGGATGGACTTAGATGGAGTGGGCAAATTTCTAAGAAAGATACAAGCTATTGAAACTGATTCAGGAAGAAATAGACAATCTGTGTAGACTCATAAAAGCAAAGAGATTGAATTAGTAACTAAAAAAACTACTCACAAAGAAAAGCTGATGTCCAGATGGTTTTATTGCTGAACTCTACCAATTTTAAAGAATTTTATACCAGGACTCCTGGGTAGCTCAGCAAATGAGCTTCTGCCTTTGGCTCAGGTATGATCCTGGAGTCCTAGGATCAAGTCCTGCATCCGGCTCCCTGCAAGGAGCTTGTTTCTCTCTCTGCCTGTGTCTCTGCCTCTTTCTCTGTGTCTCATGGATAAATAAATAAAATATTTTTATAAAAAAGAATTTTATATCAATTTTTCACAAACTCCTCTCAAAAAATAAAAAGGGGCCAGACACTTTCCAGCCCCTTTTAGGAGGCTGGTATTATCCTGATACCAAAACCAAACAACTATCTCACATGAGAACTATAGATCAATATCTGTTTTGGTCTATTGATAAAAGATCCTCCAAAATACACCAGCAAATTAAACACAGTAACATAAAGAAATTTTTACAACATGACTAACTAGGTCGATCCCAGGAATACAAGGTCGATTTAACATCTGAAAGTCAATTAATATAATTCATTAATCAATAGAATAAAAAATGAAACTGATATGATCATCTCAATAAATACAAAAAACTTATTGATAAAATACTGCATCCACTCATGATAAAAAAAAACAACAAACTAAGAATAAAGGGGAATTTCCTAGATCTGATAAAAATCCTCTACGAAAATCCCACATCTAATATCATAGTTAACAGTGAAAAACTGAATCCTTTTCTCCTAAGATAAGGACTATGGCAAGGCTGTCTGCTTTCCTTACTTCCACATAACATTGTGTTGGAGGTTCTAACTAGGGCAAATAGGCAAGAAAAAGAAATGAAAGTCATCCATATTGAATGGAAGAAGTAAAACTACCTCCATTTGCCAATGACAGGATCTTATACCTAAGAAATTCTAAGGAATCTACTAAGATGCTATTAGAACTAATAGATGAGTTCAGCAAAGTTTCAGGACACAAAATCAACACATGAAAATCAATTTTATTTCCACATATTTGCAATGAACAATCCAAAATGAAATTAAGAAAATTATTCCTTTCAGAATTACATCAAAAAGAATAAAATACTAAGGGATAGTAAAAGAAGTACCAAAATCATACTCTGAAAAATATAGAATATTGTTAGAGAAATTAAAGTTCTAAATAGGTGGAAAAACATCCCATATCCATGAATTGGAAGGCTTAACATTGTTAAAACGGAATAGAATTGAAAACAAAAAATAATACATCTATGACCAACTGAACAACAAAGATGCCAAGACCATACACTAGGGAGAGACAAAAGACAAATGGAATTCCATATGCAGAAGAATGAAATTGGGCGCCTGCCTCATATTATATACAAAAATTAACTTGAAATGGATAAAAGGCATAAATTTGAGAACCAAAACTATAAACTCTTAGATGAGAAAACATAGGGGTGTATCTTCATGACTGTGGATTTGACAAAGGATTCTTAGATATGACATCAAAAGCACAAGCAACAAGAAAAAAATAAAGTGGATTTAATCAAAATTAAAAACTCTTATTTTTATCAAAAACACTTCAAAGGATACCATTCAATAAAGTGAAAAAACAACAGCAGAGGATAGGAAAAACATATTTCCAAATCATATATCAGATAGGGAACTTGTATTTATAATATATTATAAATTATTTATAAATTATAAATAAACTTGTATTATAATATATAATGAGAGAGAGAGAGAGAGAGAGAACTCTTACAACTTGATAACAAAAAGGCGAGTAACCCAATTACAAAATGGGAAGTGTTTTGAATAGACATTTCCTCAAGGATGCTATACAAATATGTTCTTACTGGTACATGAAAAGATGCTCAACAGCATTTGTCATCAGGGAAATGCAAATCAGAGCCACAATGATATACTACTTCATACTTACTAGGATGGCCGGAACCAAAAGTCACATAATAACAATATCTCTATTGGCAGAGATGCGATAAATTGGAACCTTTACAATGTGCTGCTTGTGAGAATGTGAAATGGCGCAGCCACTTTGGAACACAGAGTGGCTGTTCCTCAAGTGACTAAACATAGCACCATCATATGACCCAGTACTCCACTTTTAGGTACATACTCAAAGGAAATAAAAATATATGAATGCAAATGTTCACAGCACAATTGTTCATAATGGACACAACATGGATGCAACCTAACGTCCATCAATGGACAAAAGATAAACAAATAATGATGTATCCATACAATGGATTATTATTTGACCATAAGAATGAAGCATATACTACAACATGGATGAACCTTAAAAACATTATGCTAAGAGAAGGAAGCCAGTCACAAAGGACTTCTTATTGTACAGTATGACACATATTACGTGATTCCATTCATATGAAAGTCCAGAATGGCTAAATTTACAGAGTCCAAAAGTAGACTAGTGGTTTCTTAGGGCTAGGGAGGGTGTTAGCAGATTGGGGAGTAGAGGCTGATAGCTAAAGCATATGGAGTTCCTTTCTGAGATGATGAAATTATTCTAAAAATCAACTGAGGTGATGGTTTTCATATCTGTGAATATGCTAAAAACTATTGAATCATATGCTTTAAATGGCTGAATTGTGTGTTGTGTGAATTATATCTCAATAAAGCTGATAAAACACACACAAAAAAAGAATGGGTATTTAGCATCTTTTCAGGTGTTTGAGGACTATTAATAAACGCATTTGGAGAACTATTTATTCATACCCATGGCCATTTTTTTGTTTTTGTTGCCCCCCCCCCCATCCCTTCTAAGAGCTCCTTTTATATTTGGGAGGTTAGCCCTATATGGATATGAGCTGCAAAATTTGTTTTCTGTTTGTCATGCCTTTTGACTTTGCTTGTTTTCCCCTCCAGGCAAGAGCCTGTAATTGCATGCAGGTGTATTAATCTATTGCTACTGTTCTGTCCTCTAGATTAGAGTTCTAGAAAGGCCTTTCCCATTCCTACCCAATAATTCTCCTGTGTTTACTCTGGGTTCATTTGCGGTTACGTTTCAAATTTTGCCTTTAAATCTTTAATCTGTTTAGCGTTTCCCTAACAAAAGTATGAAGTATGGATCCAGCATTCTTTTTTTTTTTTCTTCTTTCTTTTAGGCAGCCAGTCAATGGTACCAGATTCCTTTACCACAAATTTCAGCTTTTCTGCGCTGACTTGAAATGTTATTTTCATTATATAGTAAACTTCCTAATATATTTGGCTTTCTTTCTTGGCTTTCTATCCTATACCATTGGTCTGTTTCATCATGCACCAAAGCACACTTTTTTATTTATTTTTTAAAGCACACCTTTTTAGACATAGAAGCTATAAAATGTATTCTAATATCTGTCAACAGAGACACCCTTTATTACTTTCCTTTAAAGAGCTCTATTATTGCTTGTTTATTTATGAACTTTAAAATTAGCTTTGTAGTCCCAATACAGAAAAACATGCAAACTGTGAAAATAAGATACCATCATCACAAAAACACAAACAACAAAAGCTGGTTAGTTATTTTTTAAATATCATGTTACAAGATAAAGAAATTTAAGGGAATTGATATCTTTTTGATGTTGCTTCTTCCTATTTAGGAAGGAGGGACCTCTTCTAATTCAGTTCTTTTGAAAGCTTCAATAGTGTTCTAAAGTTTTCCTTGTGTAAGATATGAAAATTTCTTGGGATGCCTGGGTCTCTCAGTGGTTGAACGTCTGTGTTAGGCTCAGGTCATGATCCCCAGTCCTTGGATTGAGGCCTCCCATTGGGCTCCCAGCAGGGAGCCTGCTTCTCCCTCTGTCTACCATCTCTGCCCTCTCTCTGTGACTCTCATGAATAAATAAATAAAATCTTTAAAAAAGATGAAAATTTCTTAAGGTTTTCACAAGAATTGTATCATATGTATGTATTGCTGCTGTTTTTAAAAAATGTACTTTTCCTCCTTTTAATCCTCTAGCTTATCTTCTGTGTACATGGATTCTTTTGATTTCTGCTGTATAGCTTGGTAACCTGCTACATAGGTATTCCTTTGCCCACCAAGATTTTTGTGAAGCCTGATAGGACATTTGAAATCAAGATCGGACAACCCACTGTTTCCTACTTCCTGAAAGCAGCTGCTGGGATTGAGAAGGGGGCCCGGCAAACAGGGAAGGAGGTGGCTGGCCTGGTGACCTTGAAGCATGTGTATGAGATCGCCCAAGTTAAAGCTCAGGATGAGGCCTTCGCCCTGCAGGATGTGCCCCTGTCCTCTGTGGTTTGCTCCATCATTGGCTCTGCCCGTTCCCTGGGCGTTCGTGTGGTGAAGGACCTCAGTTCAGAAGAGCCAGCAGCTTTCCAGAAGGAGCGAGCCGCATTCCTGGCTGCCCAGAAAGAGGCAGATTTGGCAGCCCAGGCAGAAGCTGCCAAGAAGTGACCCTGTCCCTCACACTCCAGGGTTTTGAAGGGAATAGCTGGAATGGAGGCCAGTTGGAAAAGCTGTACCAAAAGGGTGGGAGGGAGGTGACACCAAGCTGATTGTTATATCCCTGACTTTAAATTATATATATTTTACACGTATGACAGTATCAAGAGATCAAACTTAAATAAACATGCTTTTGTAAAAAAAAAAAAATTCTCTGACTTTTAGTTCCTCAGGTCACAAATGTAATCATATCGTTTGCAAGTATCACATATGTTGGTAGAGGAAGTCACGGGGAGGATTGACCACTGGCCTACCCTCAAGCTGACCCCGGGACCTGGAGGCATCACTCTCTCCTCTGTCCGGGAACATATGGTCATCCTCCCATTCCCACAGGGAGCACTGCTTGAAGGCCACAGCCTGGAGGGAGGGAGGTGGTGGTGAGAGCCTCTGAACAGGTGTCTGTGATTGAGCCCCATTAAGGCCTCTCTGTCAACTTGTAAGATTCAGGTGGTGTGGGCGGAGACCTAGGTCTTGCAGCTCCAAGATGAGCCTGGAATGTAAGTGCCTGCTTGGTAAAGCTGCCCCTATCCATGTGCAGTGGCTTGTCTCTTTTCAATCTCTCTTGCCCTGCGAGTGAGGGGTTAGTTTGCAAACCAACATGTGTAATCATTTCCAATGTTTTGTCTTATAACTTATTTTTCGTTATTTGTGTTAGTACAATGTTAAGTGAAAATGTCCCACCGTGAATGTTTGTTTTGCCCTGAGTTTCATGCAAATTCCTTCTGTGTGACACTCTCAAGTGTGGTGCTGGCATTTGTGCTGAAATCTATAGCCCTCATAATCATGGTTGTTATGTCATCTTATGTCACGTGACATTATATTATAGTATAGCATAGTATCCACCAGTTCATTTTTTATTTAGTGTTTTGATGAATTTGTTCAAATGTTTAACTGAATATCATCAATTGATAGTTCTCCTTAGATCTGTTGATTTGATAATTATTGATAACTAAACACCTTTGCAATTCTGGAATAAACCCTATTTGATTATGATATGTTGTATTTTTAAATATGTAGGTAATTTAAAGAAACTTTTTCTGCTGATATTGTCTAGAATTAATTGTATTGAAATTAGAAAACGTGTTTTATATTATTTTCACTTTGGGGAATTATTGACATTTTCATTGTTAGTTTCCTTGAATATGACCTAAACAATTAAAGACAAAGTTTATTCTTATTTTTTAGGAACAGATTTTAATATACATCAATCAGATACCTCTTCGATTATGTTACTTAGATCTTTAATATTGATCTCTCTTGGATTAAGAGAAGTAAATTAGTCTCCTACTTTTACTATATCTTAATCCAATTCTTCTGTATTATCTTCAAATTCTACTTTATGAAAGCTACTGTAATATTATTTGACCTATGAATATTCATAACTGAATTCATAGTAATCTTCACTCTTTGGCATCACAAACTGTCCTGCTTTGACAAGTTTTCTACTCTTTGACTTAAAGTCAGCTTTTTGTCTGATATAAACCCATATTTTTCTACTCTGCTCCCATACTACTTTGTGTTTCAGCGTGAAATCTTTTTAGTTAAACAGGTGAATAAGTTTATTTACATTCATTGCAGATATATTTGGTTTTAACTCTGTAATAATTTTATATCATGTTTTCTGTTACATATTTTTAAGTCTTCTGAACTGTTTTCTCTGGCTTTTTTATTTGTGATTCTCGTATTTAAGATGATTGTGATTATTTTTCTCATAATTACCTTTATAGCTATCCACTGTATAATACTGAGTTCTCTAAGCCTCTGCAAAGTGTCTATTACAGCGTGTATTTTCTTTCTCCCAACTATAGTTATTACTGTTAACTCTCTTAGTATTTACCTTTGTATTGTGAACGATGTCTATTCTTGTCACTTATTTTTTTTTATTTTTACTTTTTTTTTTAGAGAGAGGAAGAGGGGGGAGAGAGAGAGAGAGAGAGAGAGAGAGAGAGAGAGAGAGAGAGATGGTGTGGAAGGGCTGAGGGAGAGGGTGAGAAGAATCTTAAGCAGCCTCCACGTCCAGCATGGAGCCTGACTTGGGGCTCGATCTCACTGACCCTGAGATCCTGACCTGAGCCCAAATCAAAGTCGGATGCTTAACCGACTGAGCCACTCCTTGCTGCTTTAGATGCTGTCCCTTGAGTCCCAGCTGCTGCTGCAGAGGCCACCTCCTAGCTTTGCTCAAATTCTGTTTTCCTTCCCACCTTCCCACTTTCAAGTTATGTCATTGTATTTTTTTCTACATCATCAGCTTTTATAATTCTGCTACCCACTCCTAACATTTCAAAACTGTCTTTGTTTTGGAATCAAATGTCTTCTTCCATTTCACTGCCACTCCTTCTACATTTCTCTTGTCCTCTCTTGGTCACCTAAAGGTTTTCCTTCAGTTGTTTTTTCTGTTTTGTTTTGCTTTGCTTTGTTCCTCTTTCCCCCAGGAAGACTCCTGGGATCAGCTGTTAATCTGTTTTCTTTACACCTGTAACTCAGCTTGGTCTGCTGGATTGAAATTCCTTGGATCACATTTTATTCCCTTGCAGAAGATGTGTTTCTTCATCTTCTGCTATTTGAATGTAGCTACAGGGTAATCTGAGACCAAGTGACTTTTTCACTTTATTAGCAACTGGAGTTTTTTGCCTGGCTGCCCAAATATGTAAAGTCAAATCATTTCTTTAGGATATAGCTTAGTGTCAATTGTCTGAGTCACTTTTCCCTGAAACATGATTTACTCTTTTAATATGTAAATTGAAGCCTTTTATTATGCCAGAAAAATTTCCTTCCATCATATTTTAAAATTTTTGTTCTGTGTCATAGTTTCAGTTTTTCCTTTGGAGACTCAATTATGTTTATATTGGATTTGCTTTGCCACTCTTCTAAATCTGTTATTTTCACTCTGTTTCATGTTTCTTTATTCCATCTTCATCCCATTCCATAGCTATCATTTTTCACTCATTATCTTATTTCCACTTCTTTATTTAACTTGCTTATTTCTATTTGCAATTCCCCTACTGTATTTTTCAAGTGTCATTCTTCCTTCCTATCTGGCAGCTTATATTTCCCTTCTTCCTCTTATCTTGCCTCTTTCTTTAATTCTTGTATTTCTATTTTGTGATCTTCCTTAGTTGCCACAACTGCTTTATTTGATTTTTGTATTTAATGATAGATTTTTGGTTATAATTTTCGTATGGTACCTGACAATATACTGTGTGTTGTCTTCTTCTTCTTCTTCTTCTTCTTCTTCTTCTTCTTCTTCTTCTTTCTTCTTCTTCCTCTTCTTTTTTTTTTGATCTTTTCTGACAGTAAGTTTTGTTTCTCTTTTTCACTTTTCTTTCTTATAGTATCTTTTATCAAGGCTGTGTCAGATCCTTCTCTTAGGATATATGGTTGAATGAGTTAAAATTTCCTGGTGTAGCGAAAGTTTGGGAAAAGGGAAGAGGGCACAAGGAATACTGTAGCCTTCCAGGATTTGTCTCTCAAACTTTCTGCCCTCTAATACAAATGATCCAACTGTTTTCTTCAAGTAGAGCCCCACTGTGGCTTTGCTGTGAGGATATACCTCCTTGACTTCCCTCAACCAAACTCCTGGGCCTTGGAGGGCTTCTTCCTGTCTTGGGCTCCCCAGCTCTCTTGCTGGTTAATGCAACCAGAGGACAGAGTTTTTGTCCAAGAGACATAACTGGTCCACTTACTGTCAGGTGCTGTGTTTTTGTGGATATTTCTGAATTTATAAAGGCTGAACTATTCTCACCCCTTGACATTTTTCCACTTTATCACTGCCTTTCACCCCATATGTAGGTTCAGTCTGATCTATTTCATCTCATCCCTACTTAAAATATACACCTCTCTAAATCTTTCCTGTGGGCTTCTGACCGCAAGAAATACATTTTCTTCTGGCTCTTTCTGCTACTTTTCAGTCCATCTGGGAACTTGCTTCCTCTATAATGCACCACTGCTCCTTATGCCACTCTCTCTGTCCCATGGAGCTAAGGCCATGTTCAGCTGCTTTAGACTATGTTTTTGAATTCATTGCTTTTTTTCTGTGTCTTAGTTAAATTAAAAATGGGATTTACTTGATCTATTTTTTCCTCTCTTCTTCCCTCCCTCTTTCTTTCTTTCTTTCTTTCTTTCTTTCTTTCTTTCTCTTTCTTCCTTCCTTCTCTCTTTTTCTTGATATAATTTCAGGATGAGAAAGGAGGACTATTCAGATTAAAGCTAGCTCCATATTCATAGCTTGACATCCAATGATTCAGCATAAACAATAAATTAAATCTGGAGGTTTTTTTTTTTTTGTTTTTTTTTAATTTTTTTTTATTTATTTACGATAGTCATACAGAGAGAGAGAGAGAGAGAGGCAGAGACACAGGCAGAGGGACAAGCAGGCTCCATGCACCGGGAGCCTGACGTGGGATTCGATCCCGGGTCTCCAGGATCGCGCCCTGGGCCAAAGGCAGGCGCCAAACCGCTGCGCCACCCAGGGATCCCAAATCTGGAGGTTTTAAATGGCCTTTCACTACCCAGCACATGCTGCACATGTAGCCTTTGCATCAACCCTAGAGATTGATTACTATTTTTAGTGGGGCTTCAGGAGCCTGCAACTAGTGCAGCTTGCTGGGTTCTTGTGCTCAGAAAGCCCTGCCCTTAATGTTCAATGTTCTGAAGTTGGTTCCCATCTTGAAATTCTTAATAATTCAATATTTTGAACTTATGTTCTGTAAGCTAAGCCTGGTGGGACAATGGAACTTATGCAGTGGGGTTGGGGCCTGGGCACATGCACTGTCCTGCTCCCCACACCTCTCCAGTTTCCCCAAGGTAGGACAGATTTTGGGCTGTTCCTTCTGCTCCTAAACTGCTGCTCTTTGCCCAGAGTGGTGACCCTGCTGGTTAGAGGGCTGCATTTCACCATTGCTCTCCACTCATAGAGCATTGGGCAGGCAACTTATTAAATTCATTCAAGTGTGAAAGTTTCAATTTTTTGCAGGCCAGCCATTCACCATGGGTTGAGTGACAAGTTCACAGGAAGAAGAGACTGATCAGCCCATCTCTCCAACCTAAGGGTCCTGCATTTGC